TTTCTTTACCTTACTTTCTTTTTTTTTCTTTCTTTGCACTTTTTATTATTCCCTTTTATTTCTTTTCCTCTCTTTGAGTTTAGTTTGTATTTGCTTTTACAATTGTAATTAAAATCTTCAATAAAATCTTCAATAAAAATTAGAAAAAAAGAAAGAGAAGCAAACCTTCCTGCCCTAATTTGCCTAAATATACGTAGTTTTGTCCGCTGAAAATAAAGTCTTCACTGGAATTCTTGTATTGTTATTTTAACTTCCCCTTAATAAATCTTACTAAGCAGAACTCTGAGAGACTTGTTCTTATAGTCCAGGCTGATACCAAGAAGTCTGACAGCAGCCTCTAATGTTGTCATTATTTCCAAGAATGCCACTGAGTTCCACGGGCTTTCATAGGAAATGGAAATGATGGATGGCTGCAGTCCAGCTTATTGTTGAGAAGTTGCTCGCCTGCCTAGGAGAGTATCTTAGGGGTGGAGGGCAGCAAGAGTGGTAGGAATCTCCCCACTGTTTGCTTGTCTTCTGGAAAATGGGCGTGTTTCAACCACTCCTTCTATCACAGCTCTTTTGTGAACAGGCAAATCTTGGCAGCCATTTTGAGACAATTGCCATGCCTTATTTTTACGGAGATAGAGTGAACAAATACAGAATGACCGACTGTAATTACTTGGGAATCTTCATGGCAGTGGCAAAATGAACTTTATCCAAATCCATTCTGTAATCCCTCTTACCATATTGGTTTCACAGTGGGTGCCCTGAAGAAGATTGGATAACACTGGTATACTTGGAGGATGATGGGAAATAAATCTGATCAGGGGTTACAGCCCAAATTCTCTTTCTAAAGGATAATGATAAAAACGATGATGATGATGATGATGATGATGATGATATATTTTTCCTTTGGCCACAGCACCCAGAATCCACTACTACCCCAAAGCAAGGCTGACTGTTCATAAATGAAATAGAAATGGAAATTATAAAATACGGTTGTAACTATTTTCCTCTTAAATGTCATAGGAATTGAGTATATACTTTTTCCTCCTCCCCCCATTTTCAAAAACAACATATTTCTTACTGATTTAATAGAATTGTGTGGCTTAACAACCCCCTGTGTGCTGCTTTGTAAGAATATAAGAGTTTTTGTTTCAGGAACTGTAGGGCTTGCATGTCTGATGATGGGAGAGCTTTTAAATCTACAGACTTGGTGGCAGATCAAGGTTCACGCTGAGAGCCCATTCAGCTTATTAATGTCCCCCTCTATGAAAAACAGCCAGAATGTTCTGCAGAGGCAGTGCTCAGAGCTGTCTTGTGAATATAAGAAGAGCTGGATTAGGATTTGAGGCCTGGATAAACCAGAGGTCTGTTGAGCCCATGTGCCAATGTCCTTTATCCAGGTACAGTGCACTCACTAGATGTTTTCATACTTACGGTCATGAATTACAGACCTCATCTTTTTGGCTTTTCCCTCACAAATAAAGTTGTAGAGTGCTGCTAAACCTCTCACCCAGTAGGTTGAATCTGCCTTTTTTCTTCAAATTCTTCAAAGCCAGTGATCCTGTCACTACCCCCTATTGGCAGTGAATTCTTTACATTAATGCTGGGTTTTTTTCTCAACAAGACTGATCAGATGAATGCATTCACTCTTATCAAGGACTATAATAATAAATGTGATTTGATCTGAATGTTCACGTGCTTAATAGTTTTCTGTTTCTTTTATATATAATTTGTATTAAAACTTCTAAAAGAAAGGATAAAAATGAATACGAACTAATGTTTGTAAAGAAACTAAAGAAAAGAAGAGAAGAGAAAAAAAGAAAGCAAAGAGAAAGCAAAAAGTGCAAGAAAAGAAAAAAGTTAAGGAAAAATAGAAAGAAAAAAAGATACAAAGCAGTGACTTCTGATATTCTTCACAGCAGTTATAAGTAGAATAATTTTCAGCTCCAACAAAAAAATTACAGTTTGGTAGTAGCTTTCAGAGAGGTTCTGAAGGCCCTCAAAGGGTCACACATAAAGCCAGGAATTTTCCTGAAGATACGTTTTTCAGATTGATCTCCTCTCCAAGAGAAAGACTTTTCTCTTTTGGCTAAACATAAAATTAATATGTTATTACTGATCAAATAAAAGAATGTATTTAAAATTAGGTCTGGAGGTTCTGGGGGAGGTAAAATGATAACTAAGGCCAGCTTGAACAAGGACGTGAAGGACATGCGTCCTCACAATATGGCTTTTGAACCTCTTCCCACATTTTTAAATAACAGCCCTGCAAGCAGGATTATAAATGGCCACTGAACTCAAGAGCTTCCCCGTGGTTTCTCCAAGAGTGCACTGAAATATAGGCTAAACTTCTCACTACAGATGCAAAGCCAGATGTAGACATCTTTAAAAAGTTTCTGTAAATAAATAAATGAAAACATTTGGAAAGAAGTTTAAATTGCTGGACTCATGGCTAGTTTAGGTTTTTTTTTTTTTTAATTGTTAGCAAATTGCAAGGTTTTACTCCTCTGCCTCATCACTGTTTCTAATTTGCATATAGCCATATCTATAATGGTTTAGGATTTAGGTAGTTTTATTTTAATGTAATGTAATGTAATTTATTGATTAAATTTGTATGCTGCCCATCTCCCCCAGAGGGTAGTTGATTTGTTTCTAGCTATAGGAGATAATTGTGAACAAAATCCAGGTAAACAGTGACTAATTGTTTTTATGAGGGGGCATTCTGTACAATATAGTTTGTTAATGTTTTAATTCCATGCAGTAATTAAGTGATATGGCCTGAGCAATAAGACTTTAATCACTAACATATTATGAGAGTGTACAGAAAATAAGTATCCAGTGGATGGATTTACATGTCCACATGTGGTATAATAGCAGCCTCATTTAGAAATCAATTTTAGGATAATGTATTTAATAACATCTGTATTTTTAAAATAAAATGAACATTTTCTGCATCACATTTTGTGAGGGTGCCTTTAAAAAAAGTTTAGTCATGTAATGAGATAATTCTCTTGTAAAATAAAATTTTTGAATCAGTGCTTTTAATTTTTTTAGGGGAGGAAACCATGATTGCTGTTCCACATGGAAGTCACAGTGCAAGAATTACTGTAAAAGGACCAGCGCACCTTGGTATGAATTTATTTTTCACTATGAACAGAGAGTTCTTTAACAAAAATCAATCCTATTCATGTTTTAACACTCTCAGAGATTTTGGACTTTAAGTGTACTTGAAAATCTGACTTCTTTATCTAATGTGCGATTATTAATATTATATTTAGGCATGAATTATGTTTACTACTGAAAACAGTTTGTAGCATTTTCTCTTGTTCCTCTACAAAATGGCTGGGTTTACCCAGAATACTTAGCCTTAAGTCAGGATTGTCAAACACAGTTCAGGTGTTTATATAACATACTGGGACACACAGAGGAATCATAGTATAACTTAAGAAGATGGCTTGGTTCCCACAACATGCTGAACCATAAACTATACAACCTTATTTTAACATAGTTTAGTGTGATGTCTAATTCCAGTTGGTGAGACAGCCTCATAAACAGCAAGGCTGCAATTGTTTCTGTACTTTAAGAATTAAGTTTTCAGGAAGCTGTGGTTGAGAACTCACAACATACTGAATCATAAGCCAAGGTCAACAAATCCCAGTTATTGTATTCACATAACATGCTTTGCCCAACCAACTCTTGTTTGGACAAACATGCTAAGAGAGTGTCTGGGTTCCCACAACACATTGAACCAGAAATTACCAATATCTTTTTAGCCTAGTCTACCATGTTGCTGGAACTTTACCCACAAATGAGAGAGGCTCTGGATTATAGACATTAGAGTATCTAATTATAGAATGATGGGAAGACCTGAGTTCAAATCTGCATTCATCCATGAATCTAAGGAGGTGAACTATACCCATTCACTGAATGCTAATATGGCAAGGGATAAACTTAAAATAAATCATACTTTCTGGTTAGTTGCTTTAGGAAGCATGCTACAGATGATACTCATAAATTAAAAACAAATAACAGCTGGCTCTTTCTTAACCATACTGCTGGGGTGGAGGAACCTATAGCTATATTTGCCCATCAGCCAGTCAGCTAACTTCTTGTTGAGGTTCTTAGTATTTGTCCTGCTTGGTTACAGGTCCAGTTGTTTTGCATTGAGCTCACCTAGTTCACACAGTGAAGCTATCAGTGCACAATGAGATGAAGGATTTTTTTTTTCACTTGGCTTGCCAGAGAGCCTGATCCAATTGGATCTGAGAGGGATCAAGTCACTCACGTTCACCCAGCTGCCTTCCACGCCTAGAGGAGGACTAGACCTAGGTCTCCCTGCTCCTAGTCTAGTACCTTAACCTCTACACCATGCTAGCTCTCTACTATTTATTATATAAATGTATACTGTATATCACCCAGATTCCAAGCACAGTCAAATCTCCTTGCATTGGCTTTGGCTGCAAGCAATTACATTAGAGTGGATCAAAGTCCCCATCCACTTTCTCCTGGAAACGCCTATTATCCTATGAACGCTTGGACCACAAAAATCTTGCCAAAGCTTGTCACTTCACTAGTCCTTCTTCCTTTGTTAAGCAGGTAGCAAGAGACATGGCTTGGCTGTTGCAACTGATCAATGCTTGCAAGATGTATTCTGTGTTGCCAGGCATTGGCAGTGCGTTCTGTTTTTTCCAGGGCTCTTTTTTTCTTGGACGACCAGGTTGGCAAAATAGGGCATCTAAATGTTGATATTCTCTCAATATAGCTAACTTGATGGAGTTATTTAACCTATGTAGGACTGGATCTGATTTGGGCTAAACCAAATCCTCTTGATATTAATTGACTGACCTCTTTTTGGTGCTTCCATGACATACTAATGCCCCCTTTCCCATTGTCCTAGCTAAGCATATTGTGGGAACAGCGCCTCCCTTAATCTCAACGGCTTCACGGAACTGGTCTGAAGTTCTACTGGGGCTGGCAGAAGATAGCAGTATTTGCTCTTCTGAGCTCCTAGACAAAGTGGTGAGATATAAATATCCTAAGTAAAACAAAATGGTCATCAGTGAGCTGCGTAATGTTCTTGGGTTACTACCATCGATGTTTGTGCTAATCCTGTTATTAAACTTTCCCACAGTGCTGCAGAACAGTGATGCATATAGAACATTGTAGGGAATTGTGGCGGTGCATTGCATCCTGTTCTGTCAGAGGAGGTTTGCTGAGGGAAGGATGAAGAACAGTATCACTGGGGTAGTACTGCTGAAGATTATACCAAAGGCCTGGAGCTGGTTCTGGTTGTAAATTTCTGTATCCCTACTCCATTCCCCTGTTTGCAAAGGCAGGGAGGCTCATAGCCTGCTAGCTTTTCATACTTTATACTAATATTGGACCAAAATTGGCCTTTTTGTTTCTCAGAAGTGAGCATTCCTTGAAGGAGAGTTCTGTTTCTCCATCCTGTTCTTGGGAAGTTTGGGAATTTCCTTTGAACTTCTCTTGGTTCTAAAGCTTCATTCCTTCAGGTAGAATTCCATGTCCGTTGTCATTGCATATAATAGTATGAATCTTATTCTTTGGGGAATTGTTTGACACTTAGCAGTGATGGTGATTCTTTTATGTACAAACATGTGGGGAGCGATGAGGATTACAGGTTTGCTCCCACTCAATTTAAATTGGGTTTTGGTACCAAGGCAAAGAGATGATTTCTCTTCTCACTTTCCCTTCATTTGACATTGAAATAGTTGCAGGGGGTGAGTAAGTGGATTTGAGGCAGAGGGGAGGGCTGTTAGAATATATTATAGGCTTTCCAGAATCTGTAGCATTAAGGGTATAGAATCCAAAATAAGCCAGAGTTCTCTGAAAATAATCCCCCTGCTGTAGAAGCAACAAAACCAGAAGCTAATATTTTCACAAGTGGCTAATGCTAGATAACCAAGTTCATGAACTTACAAGAGTCTAGTTGGAAGCAAACTGAAAGATGCTAGATTTCTTACTCTTTTTTTTTTTTACATGACAGAAGCTTGCATTTTAATTTTTTCATCCTATGAGTGAATTCTCTTATTTTCTTTATGAGCGTTCAAAAGAAAACATGGTGTATAGTTTGAGGATTTGAAGATAGGTATTTTTTTTTAAAAGCCTTATGTTCTCTCTTGGGGAATAATGCAAGGGTAGAAAAATTCATGAATTCTAGCAGGTAGGTTTTCTGGCAGAAGCCACTGTCCCCAACTCCTCTAACAGCTTAACACATCACATAAGAGAGAAGCAACAGACCTTTTTAAGTGTCAGTCTATCCAGTAAGGACCACTGGTTGCATTCTGTATTTGAAGAAAAGCTTTATAATATTGAAAGTTTTGTTTCAGATTGCTTTGTCTCATTCTTTCTAACACGGAATTTGCTCTTCTAAAGCCACCAAATGGAAGGAATGAAGTTAGGATTATTTCTTTGTTTTTGCCACAGCATACATCATTTTACAGTCGTTTCCATTAAAATGTATCTGCTAATTTGATCCCTTTCCTCTAGTTGGCAGAAATCATTTTGGAGTCTTCTGGCCCCAGCGTTTGACTAGTGGCTATTAGTGCTAGATGCAAGATCTATTGCCGCTTGTTACAAATGAAATCCAAACCCGGCACCATTCTTAAAAACACATGTTACATTCAAGATTTCTGGCACTGATCTAGCTACTGCTTTTTGTTTTGCTCCCAACATAAGTCAGCAGTAAAATAGATCATGCTTCAGGGTAGTCTTGCGATAAGGATCCCTGTTGCGGATGTCACAGTGCTGTTGGAAATAATGCGTTCTCCTAAAATTGACAAGATCCATCTTTTACTCGGAGGTAGCTAGGATTTCAGTTGGCTGGGTTAGAAGAGAAATGTTCACCAACAGCAAACAAAGGCCTTGTTATGTTTTAGTTGTAACTTTACCCCTAGTTGACTTTGCTGGGTTTAAGCATAAGCCTCCACTCAAGGTTCAAAAGACTTTTCAAGCTATCACTTCTGGAGGATGTGCTTGGAAAGCCACTTGCTGATATTTCCAGATGGCTACTAGTTGATTTGCAAAATATTACTTTCCTTTTGAAGAACTAGCTATACATATATTACTCATCACCCAAGGCTTGGTACTCATACCTCAGGGAAGTTGTTATTGACAGGCAGAGCAAGTGAGAGTAGAGAGGAACTGATCTTGTACGTAGACTCTGGAGCAAATCTGTGGTGCCATGTCTTGGAAAAATATTATTTGCTTGATTTAAACTTTCCTGATGAATGAGGGGCTGCTGTTTAGCTGTTACTAGAGAACTGATTGAGGAAGTACATCATATTCCATCATTAGCATCCATCAATGCTATCACAACAATAACTTGTTGTGATTTTTAATGTACCTGCCATTATTTGCCAACCCAGAGAACTCTAAACCCAATTCAAACCATGTAAAGGCTTTTGAGATAAGCTTGTCAGGTGCACGAAGGAAAGAGCCACATACATAAAACAAATATGTGCACCCGGAATTGTCTTCAAATCATAATTTGTGCATGTATGAAGAGGTGCTTTTTTGCCCAACTTACTTGGGGCAGATTTCAAGTCTTTGCATATTTTATGACACCTTATTGGCCATTCAAACATTGCTTGACTTCCCAGGCCAAGAAAATACAGTATGGCAAACTCCCCAGCTGAAATAAATGTACTTCTGTTCTTGGGCCAGCAGCTCTGTTTGCAGAAGAGCTCACTGTACCTTACAAAGCTATTGTTTGGGACTTCTATTTCTGAATTATTAGCATGCTAAGAGATGCCCTGAGTCTTTCAGGTTACATACTCCTCTGTGCTGGTCTTTGACTGTAATAAAGATTTGATTGATCGATACATACTCCTCTTCTCCTTTCTGCAATACAGAGAGTGGTAAACACTTCCACTTTCATCTTAAATTGTTTCATGTTCTTTTTAGATATGAGGAATTGTAATGTGTCCTGATTAAATTTACTTGGTTTAAAAAAAACCCAAAACCTAATGGTCAAGTGGCTGGTGGGTAAAACAACCCCTCTCAGAAGATTGGGGAAAAAACAATTCTAGAAATTAGAAAGGAGTGTTGCCTGTTAATTCAGTTGATTTTACAAAATGAGTGAATATTGTTTTTCCTTTTAATGAAAAAAGCCTGTATTGCTCTGAATGGTTTAAGGCTCTTTCCGCAGCTTCCATTCAGTTTTGACAGTGGTGCCATATTTACATAGATGTTTTTGTACCTTTTTCATGGCTCTCCAAGATATGCAGCCAGTAAGAGGTGGACTTCCTAGAAAACCTTAGGAGCAATATGGTGTCATGGAGGCAATATAACAAGCATTCCAGGGAATACAGCTAAAGGAGCAACATGTTGAGTCTTGTGCTTCAATAAGCCACATTAAAATAATATAATAACATTGTGGGGAAAATAGGAGGAGGAAGGGGTATTAGGCATGCTCACCACTTTGAGTTATTTATAAAAATAATAAAGGTAGGATAAAAAATCTAAAAAACAACAACATTAAAAAGAGGGAGATAAGGCAACATGTAAACTAATTGCAAACATTTTGTTGAAATGTCTACCCCATGTCCACAAAAACTGCTTTAAAAAGGGTTTATTTTTTACACAGGGAGAATGTTTTCAGGAAATTGGGGTGGGGGGGGTAGGGAATAATTTCGGCCCAGTTTTAGAAAACATTAACTTTTGCTAGAAGAAACCTCAGTTCACAGGATGTGACAGCTCGGGTTTAGATATTCATTGAAATTAGCCTTAGAGGGATTTCTGTCCAAGGGTTTCTAGCATTGCCATTCCAAAAAGCTTGTGCAGCTGCTTAATTTCTCCTCCCGGTGGATTTTCTCTGGAAAGAAAAATGGCAGAAGAAGAGATGGAGAAAAGGCAGGAAGATTACAAATTGAAAGAAATGTTTCTTTGGACTCTGTAAAATTCCATGGGTGAGTAAGAGAAGTGCACAATCAGAGTCATCTGGAAGTACATTTAGTGTCACAATTAAGAGTGCAAATTAGCAGCTCCCTGCTTTAACTCTCAAAGTAGCAAGAACTTACTAGATGGATTTATTATAAGCTATTAGGCACCATTTGCAGCCTACCTCACAAGGTACTTATAAGGATTTCTTGATGTGTAAAAGCTTCTGCTGTTGTTATTGTTATTGTTGACATATTACCAGATTTCCTTACTTCTTAAGGATTCCAAGGGCTCTAAGTGTTATTTAAATGATGCATGTTGTTTTCAAAGGCCATCTGACAAATGACTTCCTTTCTTTATAACAAATGGGTTTGAGTACACTTCTGTCTAGACAGAGAGGACCAGTTCTATCCCTCTTCCAACACCATTGTTTTGATTGGAATTAGACCAAGAATAAATTTGGACCAGCACCCTTTATCAAGAGAAAGATATTCTGTTTCTCCCTGTGCCCTTGCATTATTTTCTTCCTTTTAAGGCCCAGGGAATGTACCGCCTCAAGGTAATTTGTAAAGCTGAGACAAGTGATTAGTGGAATATTTGCAAGGTATTGCAGAGGACTTAAAGTAAGACTCATGTATGCTTTTATGGGTTGGGAATTATTCAGCATAATGAGCAAATTCAACAGTTTGAGTACGTTAGGGCTGTTGGCATTAGTTCTCTCAAGGCAGAACTCAAGTATTCCTCTAACTTGGCCAAAGAGTTAATATTCTTATAGTGTATTTTGATATGAGACTTCTGAAGTATCGTATTGTTGGGGGGGGGGTGCAGAAATAGCTGAGGTCTCTGGAGAAGGCTCTAATGCTGGGAAAGGTAGAAGGAAAGAGAAGAAGATGTCCAGCAGCAAGATGGATGGACTTAGTTACAGTGATGATGGGTGCTCGGTTGGAAGACCTGAAGGACCAGGTTGGGGACAGATCACTACACGGAAGATCTATCTGAGTGGTTGCTAAGAGTTGACATTGGCTTGATGGCACATAATCAGGGCAGCTAAGGTAATATAATTTAGGTGTGTGAAGAAACACAAAAGAAGAGTGCTATGTTCAGGCGGTATATGATTGCTTCCTCAAAGTTTTAAATCGTGCCTCTATCTGTGCTTACCTGTGTAACTGTAAATACATGCAAACATTACACAGTACCTTCTAATGATCACCTTCCAGAAGAAAACCCAATCTGCAGCTGCAGAATGTGCCAACTTTGAATTGCAAGGTTGAACAACCTTAACTTTAGTATAGTGGGTCAGAGGCATTGGGATCTGGGTGATGATAACGCTGAAGCTGTCCAGATAAGCAGGCAGACAAAGGTGAGGTTGCTATTCGTTTGGCAAATTCTTCTGAAAGCCGACTAATCGACCCTCTTTCCCACATCTAAGCAGCTTTTGGAACCCTCTTTCTGACCACATCAATAGCATATGTGTCAGCCTGGAAGAACTAAGAGCAGTACATTTACAGGCATTCTGTGCATTTTCATGTGCCAGCGCATCTGTGATCAAAAAGGCAACTTAACAGTCTTGTGAGATATCAGTGTCTCTGGCCTCTCATTTACTGTTCCCATCTTGTATTGAATAATGGATTTGTCCAGCTCTTCCTAAATAATTTATCTATTCGAACAGAAAAAGGCATATTGAACACAAATTGTGATCCATTCAGAAAGACCTCTTTCAGTGTGCTGGATGGTTGCATCCTAAGGTGGAGTTTGGCTATGTGAATATCATGGAAAGCAGCAGGTTTCTTACTTGGAAGATGTGTCTGGATCAAAAAAATATGGTGGTTTCTTCTGTACTGCTTTTTTCAAAGAATCTCTGCATTTGTGCATTCTTGGAATTCTGTTGGTATTACTTTAAAATTATTAAAGTTGGTATTCGTTTAAAATTATTCTGTGAAATGCTTTATCTTTTTAAAACCTGCTTTACTGTGAGGCCATGTGAAGCAACAGAATTTCTCCTTAACTGTATACCAGTGATAAATCAGTTTCTATTTTTATTATACCAGAAATCATCTAGGCTTCTGCAAAAGAGCCATAGCACTAAAGAATTGGATGAAGTGATCATTTTAAGCCCCTGTCATCTGAATAGTGCTGTTATAAATAGTCCATACAACTGTCTATGTTTTATATTTACAACACTTAGTACAGCCTGTGCTTTCAATAAGCCAATGTCTTTTTTCTTTTCTTTTCTTTTCTTTTCTTTTCTTTTCTTTTCTTTTCTTTTCTTTTCTTTTCTTTTCTTTTCTTTTCTTTTTTCTTTTCTGCCTTGCATACATTCATCATAATCTGCTGAATGATAACGTGTATTTTCCCCTTATGCTTTTCAGTGATTGAATCAAAGACGCTGCAGGGAGACACTGGAGAACACAGCTTTAATGCCCCTGGAATGTACATCATTGAAAACACAACAGTCGAATTTCAGAAGGGCTCAGAGAGAGAAACAATAAAAATCCCAGGGCCTCTTGGTGCAGATTTCATTATCAAGGTAAGGCATGTGCGTTGTGCTGCGCCAGGTTTTTGTCCGCCAACTTCTCTGAAAAAGTTTTGTTCAACAAATGACAACTACAGCAGGGAAAGGAAAGGGTTAGCTTTACAAAGTAGGCCAGATTAAGAAACCAATGTCCTATAGGTCAGGACTACTTTTACTGTAACAGCTACAGTAACAGAATTTTGCAAATCTGAATGTGCTTTCCCCCCTTCACTTTATCTTTGTGTTTTTTAATGTATTCTTTATTGTTTTTAAAATAATAGCAGAAAAAAAAGAACAAAACACAAAGATAATCATGATAGAAATACATATATTGTCAATGAAGGAAAAAGAACACATAACAAGCACTTTAAAAAAAAGTGGAAAAAAAGCCAACAGGAAAAAAGAAAAAATATAGGGCAGTCCATAATCTGAAGAGGGAAACAATTCCTCTAACTAACCCAAACACTTGCCCATCGTAATCTGTGAACTGGAGCCATGATGTGGCTGTGGTGTTTCAAACATGGTGCTCATAGGCACTTCTTTCAGCGCCCCCAGGACTCCCTGCCCCACCTGCTTTGTTTGGGGGCACACCACCCTGCCCTGATAGCCATGTTTTGAATAGAAAGCCACCGTACCTACGGATGCTCTCAAGATGTGGCCGTGGTCTAAAAAATGTTGGAGACGCCAGATGTAGACATAAATGGCAGAAGATAAGAAAATGCTTGATAACCCAAACATTCTGTTTTGCAGTATCTCTGGATTTTCTCCCCAGGAGGTTTTATTTTCCCCTTGCCTGTTGTCATGTGGCTTTTGGCATTGTGTTTGGTGTGTGAATTATATCGTGACAGGCCAGGGACTGCTGACGTGCAGCATTCAGAAGTGTTGTAATGGGACTCTCTTTAGGCCAGGTATACCGCTCCCAAAGACAGCGTGGTTCAGTTCTTCTTCTATCAACCCATAAGTCATCAGTGGAGACAGACAGAATTCTTCCCTTGCACCGTGACATGTGGAGGAGGTGAGTAATGGATGTGGCTTTGGGAGCAGGTACAGCTGTGGATTTTAAGTGGTGGATATATATAGCTTTCTATGTGAGATTTGTGAGAAATGCAATAAATTGGTGCTGGGTCGTAACTCGGGTCTTTTCCCCATTTAAAACAGAGAGCAGAGGTCTAACATTTGCAGCTAGTTAAGGCATTATGCTTGTGCTAATGATCCTTTCAGGATAACTGCTGTCAAACACCAAGTCCTGCCTATCAAACAGACATTCGAAATGTAACTGACATTTGAACAAGAACTGGGGAACTAACTAGCAGGTGGGGCGAAGCTTACATGGAGATTTGAAGATTAGATTATAAATGTAATGGGATATGTTTGGACAAAGAATCATTCCTACTTAACGCATTAAAAACTAGCACCTATGACACTTTTATTATTCTTAAGACCAGAGATAGATTGGAAG